ACACTATATATATTACGTCTCTGACATTACTCTAATTTCTCATCACAAAAGTTAAGATTTAGTATAATTCTATAATGCTTGTAAAACATCATTACAGTGACCGTTAGACTGTCAAGAATGGGTTTATCTCCAAGGTAACAGAACAGGTAAATAGCAATTTGATGAGTTACCGGAGTTTTACCTGGCCTGTGCCTGACACTTAGAGCTGATATCTGATAGCTTCGCTTCACCTGTATTTTCACACCCTGGCCCTACCCGAGAAAATACGTGAGCGCCCGTGTGGGTGGAAACGACGGTCCAGGTACATATACAAAATGGCTATGTTTACCTGTATACGGGACTGTGTTGTGATTTAAAGCCGCGAAGTTTCACTATAGGTGTTATGACATTACGTGATTGGTCTCGTTCCTTTTTTAACACGAAACCAAATCTGTATAAACATCCGTATGGGGCCGGGAGAACTGACCGATCATCGATACTTTTTTTAATATTTATATTGTTTTATAGTCTTAAAGTTGTCGTGACGTAAACATATTCCCTGGACTTCTACAACTGTATACTAGGTAGTTTGTTGTCATGATTGTAACGTTGCCTGTGAACATTATGAGTTAATAATACTCATTAATTAGAGTTGATATTATTATATTTATCCTGATGTATTTAGAGTATTCCATGTATTAGAGGTCTTAATACTTAAGATCAGCTTTGACTACCACACCAAAACCTATGACGGGTGTCAACACATGTTTCCCTTGAATGACAGCTTTTTTTCCCGATACAATGTACATGTTTTTTGAACGATATACATCTGGATATTTTTTGTATTTTATTGAATAAATAGGTATCCGCATCGTTTCGTTAGATACAATAATGACTGAATACAGTACATGGCTTTCTCAAATGTTATGATGTTTAGCTCACCTGGCACCAAGGGCCCTTGAGCTGACGCAGTACTGCGGCGTCTGTCGACCGTCAGTCCGTCAACTTTTATTTTTTGAACGACTTCTTCTAAAGAACTGGAGGATCTAGGGTAATGATATTCGGCCAGTAGGTACCTGGGATGAAGTGCTATACAGTTGCTTCATTTAAATGACCTTGACGGAGTTTCAAGGTCACAGGGGTCAAATATGTTAAACATCAAGCAACAATATCCTAAAAAACATTTGTACTGGAGTCATACTACTTTGGTATGTTATGGAGACAGGCTGTGTGAAACTTTTTCTTCATTGCAGTAAAAGGTCAACTTGGTGCTAGTCTGGGTTCAAATGTCAACATGGTTTAAAATCTTTAACAATCTTTTTCTCAAGTTTCATAAGGCCAAGGGTCATGCCATTTGGCCAGTATGTACCTTGGATGGAGTGTTAAAATAAAAATGCATTAAAATGACCTTGACCAACTTTTTTAGTTCACAGGGGTCAAATATAATAAAAGCTCCAAACAATATCCTAAAAACCATTTCGACTAGACACATGATGCTTGGGTATGTAATGAAGACCAGCAGTGCAAATATTTGTCCAAATTACAGTAATGAGGTCAAAGGTCAACTCTAAGTGCTAGTCTGTGTTGAAAGGTCAACATGGGTTAAAAGCTTTAGCAATCTTCTTCCCAAGGCCCAGGGTCATGCTACTTAGGCAGTTGGTACCTGGGATAGCGTGCTATAAAGTGTTCTCATTAAAATTACCTTGACCTACTTTCAAGGTCACAGGGGTCAAATATGTTAAAAACTTTGGCCAGTATGTACATTGGATGGGGTGCTATAAAGTTTCCTCATTAAAATGGTCTTGACTTAGTTTCAAGGTCACAGGCATCAAATATAGATAGTGCTTCAAACAACAATAACCTAAGAACCATTTGGACTACAGTCATGTTACCTGGGCAGGTTATGAAGACCAACAGTGCGAATCCTCGTTTCCATTGCAGTAATGAGGTCACATGTCAACTTTAAGTGCTAGTGGAGGTCTAAGGTTAACATGAGTTAAAAGCTTTAACAATCTTCTACTCAATTTCTATAAGGCCCAAGGTCATGATTTTGGCCAGTAGGTACCTGGGAAGGAATGCTATAAAGTTTTCTCATTAAAATGAAATTGACCTTATTTCAAGGTCACATGGGTCAAATGCGATCGTGGGTTAAAATCTTTCGAAATCAAAATTTCAAATTTCAAACAATATCTTAAGAACCGATTAAGAGATGTTAAAACTTTATATTTTCTAGTTACCATATTATGTCTGAAGTTATTTATATATGTCAGTTTTATGTAACAAAAGAAACAGGCGACACAGGCCCTCTGGGCCCCTTCTCTATTATTTCGGATTTCATGCATCAGCATTTCCGAACAGAAACAATTTTAATGATAAATATACGGCGCCTTGAGCGACTTTTTGTTTTATTTAAGGTGTTATAAAAATACGTCATTAATCGTTTTGCCTACCAGCGGTATATATAATAACAGTACAGTAAAATATCCCTCTAAATCAGTGATGGCTGCACTACTGTAGTGAAACATGAAACCACCATTGACTATGACCGTATTCCTGCCAATAGCGTCATGATAAGTGGTAGTGTGGTTCACCTTTGCAGCATGTGTTATTGGATTTACATAACTAAACAATTGATATCATGTTTGTTATTTGTTGTGAAATTCCTAATTTATCATACCAGGAAACCGAAAACTGCATTAACACATTTTGGATACTTTTCCAATTGGACTTCATCTATTCATCTATGAAAGACTAAAGAAAAATAATTAAAAGTAAATATATGGATCATGAGACAAAATGAAGTTATTAAAATGTGTTCTGCTTGCTATCTGCTTGACGATCAGCTTTGGTGGAGATGGAGAATGTTTATTATGTTGTCAGTATTATTTGACAGGTTAGAGTGGCATGCTACCGTGTCAAGGTCAAGGCATTCTATTAATCTGAATTAAATTGTTCCCTGAACCTGTCTTTATTTGACGAGTAAGTTCGGAGACGTAAAGCCATCAAATTATAAATCTGAGGTATTGGACCTCCAAATATAGACAACTTCACATATACAGCTAAAACGATCCAGATAACCTAAGTTTATATACAGTTGTTACTTTGACTTAAGAGTCTGAGTGAGAGAATGGTCATAAGTAGTGTTCAAAATATTGTGGCGGGAATAAAGGGATGTCCGAGGTCAGCGACACGATAACAATTAATTGAAGAGTACTAAACCAGAACATAAATTAACATGTACATACATTCAAAACTGATGACGTCTCGTATAGTGTTAACAAAACGAAACACCAAACAGGTGTATATACATGCAAACTGTTATACCTTTGTTACATAAGCATGATGGTATGTTCTGGCCACAAACCCCGATAGGGAATACGAAGATCTTGTCAAATCAAATCTTCTGGTATTTTGTTTTGTTTGCAGGCTATGTAACCAATTTTTACCCAAACTTGGGCAGTTTTGGAGGAGGGACACAAATCACCGTCAAAGGAGCTGGATTTTCAAAGAACTCGTTTAACCATTTTCCGGGAACAGAACACCTAGGAAACCAGGTGTTTTTCGTTTATAGACATTATCTGTTTCCATGTGATGTCATCCTTGAAAAAACAACCACAACCCGTATACTATGCGTTACTCGGTGAGTTAATACATGTGTAGTTTTACAATGCTGGTTAAAACACTGTTAATTTGCATTCTTATATTTTTCATTTTTGAAATTAACCTACCCTTGTATAATTTGTCGCAAAAACAATGAGTAGTTAGCTTGGTTAGAATTTATCACACATGGAAACCTCATATATGTACATATATGTGATGAATTCATATTCTCACTTTTTAGTTGTGCGTTCGCACCTGTGAGGAAGGCTTTATGTTCTGTCCCCTCGCAGATAGTCTGTAAAAGGGTAGTTTCTACTCCTGCTTAACGTTCAGCAAAGTAGGAGTTGGACGACTGGTTCGCCCGTTGTCCGTATAATGTGACTGGGTAGGGGTGTCCTGTGTGCAAGATGCATGCGTGTAGTGTATGTGTGTGTATTTTGGAAGGCTGCGATATTTTCGTGTTAGTCTCCTTGTGATAGCGCGGAACTGATGCCGACTTTATAGTGCTTCCTCACTGAAACATACTGCCGAAGACACCCAGCAGTACGCCCCACCCAGTCACATTATACTGACAACGGGCGAACCAGTCGTCCCACTCCTATTTTGCTGAGCGTTAAGCAGGAGTATAAACTACCATTTTTAAAGACTTTGGTATGTCTCGGCCAGGGGACAGAACCCAAAGCCTTCCTCACAGGGCGAACGCTCAACAAATGGCCAAAAGGGAGGCATTGTCAAGGGAGACATTAGGAAGAAGAAAGTTATTTAGAAAGGAGAGAAGAGATAAGGTCCCAAATTTAGTCGCCTCTTACGATCATGCAATTGGGGGCAGCAGGTACAATTCTTACGCCCTACCTGCAGGGGAGCACCCCAACATATACTAGTTCCTGCATACACATATGCAATCACGCATACACTACACACATGGAGGCACATCCTTAAATGACCTTAGCTGTAAATTGTCCGGACGTTAAATAAAATTAAACCAAACAACCAAATGCCTAAGGGTGATGATATTTCGGATAAAGAGCTAACAAGGTTTTCAACTGAATGACCTTGCTAGACTTACAAGGTCACAAGGGGAAAATGTGTTAAAATCTTGCAATAGGTTGTTTAAACTAACAAAGAGTCATATGTTAGGATTTTTAGCCTGTAGCTTTATTTGGCTAATAAAGTATATCTTACCTTGGTCGACTTTTTATCTTGAATGTGAGAAGTTAATGGAGGATGAGCTATGCAGGCCCATAACTTACGTATAATTTTAAATAACATGAACATTTCGATCGTGCATTGATGACTTTATAAATATGCTTCGTAATGTAATGGCATCAGGGAACGGTCTTTATACACAATTGTATAAATATTTTGTCTCATTTTAGGGCCGGTATGCCAATTTACCGCTTCAGTATCAAGGTTACGGTGGATGGTGATGTTATTCCGACATGTCACTCAGGATATAGCGACTGTAGATACCTAGTACGTTGTTACGTCTTGCATTATGTATCCCATTTGTGTTTAGGGAGTATTGTCATAAGGTGTGCTATCACAGCAATAGGTGCAGCAGATTTATGTTGGTCACTTTTGTGTTGCCACGAAGAGGGCACAAACGCAAATTACAAATACTGCAGGGGGTTCCAAACTTAGTTATGTCTTACGATACATGCAGTGATAACAGCAGGTGTATTATTTTCTCGATCCTCGGTCTGGTGGATCGTGTTTCATTAAATGTATCATTATTGAAAGGCTATTTCTTGCTATAATGTATATGCTTTGTTCTACAATATATATCTGGGTAGTCGTGTATTGTATTGAACGAATATGTTCCCGCGACGGCTCGCCTGACACAAGCACAAGCACAAGCGTACCCAAATAGAATTGCAAGTAATGACTGTATAAAGTGCCTATAAATCAGATACATTTTCAACAAAAAGATAACGGGAACCGGTGGGGGCTAAAAAGTAGTTTAACTATACTGGTCATTTTCTGCTCCAATAACATAGTGCTGTTTTCTTTACCTTTTTGGTGAGTGATAATTTTCATGGGCGGAGTAATTTTTTTAAGCGACTTCCATTGTCCATGAGTAAGATAACACTGCAAAAGCAAAGTTCGACGTATAACAGAGTATATTATAATTGACAATTATTATTCTAAAAAGATCGGATACTGGTCATTCATTTTTGTAAACTTTCTGCGTCAGGTGGTGTCTGCCTGTGCACTCGTCTGCATATGACTGGCTATTGCGATAACGTTTAACCCCAAACAAACTTGTGAAACTTTAATATTTATATTATAATGTTCTACAAAGACAATTAAAAAGGCTAAACTTGAAGTTATACAACATCTACGCGTTCTTTTCAGGGAAAATAATAGGCCTGTTGTAACCCACTTTATGCCGTAAGAGACCATTAATGTACACGGTATGATAGATATGTAGATATGAATGCATTTTCAAAGCGCGGCATCCATCGTCCGGCGTCGAAATTTAAATTTTAAACAACTTCTTGTTAATAACCAAAAGGCATAGGGTGATGACTTTGCAGTATATTCAAGGTCACAGGGGTAAAATATGTTCAAAATAGTTAAACGACTTCTTCTGAAAAACCAAACGGCCCAATATGATGATATCAGGCCAGTAGCATGCTGTGATATAGGGCTACCTGTTTTGTTCAAATGAATGACCTTGACCTATATTCAAGGTCACATGTATCAAATATGTTTTAAAACTTTAAAAACTTCTAAACAGCCATAAGGCCTAGAATGTTGATATATGACCAGTAGCTTGCTATGATTAAGGACTACCAAGTTTGTGACCTTGACTTATAATCTTGGTCACTTGAATAACCATGATGATTAGAATGTTGCAATTTGTCCAGTAGCACGCTTGGATGAAGGGCTATCAAGTTATTTGAATGATATTGATCTTTTTTCAAGGTCACTTTTGGTAAAATATGTGTAAGCCTTTAACTGACCTAATCTCAATCAACAAAAAGCTAGGGTGGTGATATTTGGCAAGTTGCATGCTGAGATGAAGGGATATAAAGATTGTGCAATGAAATGACCTTTCAAGGTCACAGGGGTAAAATGTTTAAAAATATTTTAACAAGTTCTTTTGAATGACAATAATACTGATATTTTGCCTGTAATTTAAGTTTAGATTACGTTTAAGGTTACAAGTGAGGGATTAATACCAGGTGAGCGATGCAGGCCCATAGGGCCTCTTTTATTCAGTTGATTTTATATTTTATACAAAAGTCTTTGCTGGTTAGAATGTTACATTTTTGATCAAAATATGATGCAAGAATAAATGCTACTTCTATTAGGTTATGATTTAACATTGTACACAATTGAAGATTTTTGTTTCGCATTGTTGTTAGTCTGTAACTAATGAAACCAAACCCTCATTTATCCATGCTTAATACTTGCATACATATATCTATTTAAGCCATATACAACATATACGCCAACAGTCAGCCAGATCAGTCCCTTGTCAGGTCCACAAGGTATGTACGTACACAATGTGTATGTTAACCGATTACTATTATAGATGTATGTTTGTGTCGTTTAAAGGATGAAAGTAGCACATGTCATTGCACCGCGGATAATTAGTTCCCATCTATTGGTAGTATCAATAACCTTTCTATATACGAACAGGATATACATGTATCGCTTGACTGTATTCTCGCGCTTACAATATTAGTTGATATTAAATCAAAAGTGTTATATAATGAACTTCCTATCAGTTGTCCCGTCACCTTGACCAAGATTTTTATTACTTAGTAATTCATTTTCAAATAAGCGGATACCAACCAATTATGTGCTGTCTCTCTTCAGGAACGTTGTTGACCATAAGAGGACAAATATTTACTTCTAAATACGGCATGAACGCCAGCACTAATGGAGACACAGATGATGTAGCAAGGTGCGTATAGAAAATGCTTAGGATTATTCGAAATATATTATCAATCGGTATTTTATGGAATACTTTAAACCAATTATATCCAATGTTTTTTAAGAGCATTTATTGATTTTTATTCCTGGACGTCACATGTACTCAGAACTTTTATTTTGCAGGGTCACAGCAGGAGGCGATATCTGTGAAATAACATCTTCTAATGGTCAGAGGTAAGTTCATATGCACCCTAGATACGCCGGTCAGGAACAATATACGTACATTGTGCATTTAATATAATATGTATATTATTTCATTCCAGTGATATTTCCGTATTAAGTCCTTGATACTGTCCCCGTGCTGTCCTGCTTCGTAAGTTTAACCAGCCTATCCATTAATCTAAAGTTTAGTTACCTTTCAGTAGCATTCATGTGCTGGGTGCCTTCAAAACCTACCTCATGGTGAAACAATTATTTTTTATGCTTTCTCGATCCACAGTAAGGAAAATTTCGAACATGTACGTACGTTCAATACATAAAATCATTCATTACATGGATACCGTATTATGCAATAAATACCAATATCTTGTTAACGTACAAGGATACTAAGACCAACCAATTCTTATTTGTCGAATACAAGATGTTGGTTCTTTTTGATTTTTAGCTCACCTGTCCGAAAGGGCAAGTGAGCTTATGCCATGGTGCTGCGTCCGTCGTCGTCAACTTTTTACTTTAAACAAAACTTCTTCTCAGTATCCAAAAGGCCTAGTATGATGATATTTGGCCAGTAGGATGCTGGAATCAAGGGATACCAAGTTTGTTCAAATGAATGACCTTCATTCCTTTTCAAGGTCACAGGAGATCAAATATGTCAAAATATTTGAACAACTTCTCCTGAATACCCAATGGTCCCAGAATTATGATATTTGATCAGTATAATGCTCAGATAAGGGTTACCAAGTTTGCTCAAACAAATGACCTTCACCCATTTTCAAGATAAAAGGGGTCAAACATATTGATAACCTTTAAACAACTTCTACCTAATAACCAAAAGGCCTAGGATTATGATACTTGGCCCGTATCATGCTTGGATGAAGGGCTACCAAGTCTGTCCAAACAATGACCTTCGCTTATGTTCAAGGTCACAGGGGTCAAACATATTAAAACCCCTTAAACAACTTATTCTCAATAAGCAAAATGCCTAGGATAATGATATTTGGTGAATAGCATGCTAAGATAAAGGGCTACCAAGTTTGTTCAAACAAATGACCTTCACCCATTTTCAAGGTCACATAGGTGAAATGTTTAAAACCTTTAAACAACTTCTACCTAATACCCAAAAGGCCTAGGATTATGATACTTGGCCAGTAGCATGCTAAGATAAAGGGCTACCAAGTTTGTTTAAACAGATGACCTTCATCTACTTTCAAGGTCACATAGGTGAAATGTTTAAAACCTTTAAACAACTTCTTCTCAATAACCAAGAGGTCTAGCTTAATGGTATTTGACCAGTAGCATGCTGAGTTAAAAGGCAACACAGTTTTAACGAATGACCTTGACATATATCCATGGTCGCAGGAGTCAAATATGTTTAAAATCTTTAAACGACTACTTCTGGATTACATATAGTCCTAGGGTTATGATATTTTGCCAGTTAGATGTTTGGATGAAGGATACCAAATTTCTCAAATTAATTACTTTCGCTCATATTCAAGGTCACAGGGATCAAATATGTTTGAAACTTTAAATGACTTGTTCAGAAAATTCAAAAGGTCCGTGGTAATGATATTTGGCCAGAAGCATGCTGGGACGAAAGGCTATACACTCTGTTCAAATAAATGTCCTGGTTCGACTTTCCAGGTCACATGCGTTATTTGTTTAAATTATTTAATACATTCAAATGAATCGGACACAGATAGTTTACCTGCAGCTGTATATTAGTCCACTTTTAATATTACAAGGGTGAGATTAATACCAGGTGAGCGATTCAGACCTATTGGGCCTCTTGTTTTTGTTCTTTCTTGGGACACCATTGTCTCTTGTAAAGACGTTAATCTTGTTTACATGTTATAAACAGCCAAGATTTGTTTGGGTGTATATTCATTAACGTCCTATCGACAGCTGAGGTCATTTAAGGACGTTCCTCCATTTGTGTTGTGAATGCGTGCATGTGTTAACAGGTCCTTAAATGACCTTAGATGTTAATAGGACGTAAATCAAAGTATAACCCAAACCGTCAATTGCCGCTAAAACGTGTTGTATGAAAGATTTCTTCACTTCTGATAAATAATACCAGGAAACCATCGTCTCTTGTCAATTTTGCCACATGCATTGTTCATTGTTATTAAGCTATGTTTTCATGAAAAGTTTTTTGAGGAATGAGATTATGAAGAAAACGTTCTTATTGTCCCATTGTCCCTGTATCCCTTTCTAAATCGTACCTTAAACTATATCTAATGTTTGAATGTTTTTTTTCAATGCCCTACATGAAGCAATGGTATCATTCTGGACGATAGCGGGGAAAGTAAACAAGGTGTCTTGACCTGCAAGATGAGTAAATTAGGATCAAAAATAGGTAAACTGTTCGTTACGTCTCTCATTATCTCTAACATTTTAAAGGAAACAAATGTTTTCAATTGCTATACTAAAAGACATATACGTTGTTTTATACGATTGATCGTCATAAACTGTCTTATTGTTTTTCAAAAATCCGCACATTGTATTGGGATATTTTCGAGCTATCATGAGACATGAGCATATTGTTTCGTACTCAGAGTTATTGATATTGCATCTTTTTTGATATATTTGTAAGTTTCGTTTAAACACTTTTACAGGAAATTTGAATGTTAGCTACACGTTAACAGCTCGTGGAAGGTAAGTGTATACAACTCAAAACCCGAACATTGTATTGTAGGTCAATACAATTGTCACCACAAATTTATTGAAACATACAGAACATGTTATCGCTGCAGTGAGGTCATTCGACGAAAAGAGTATTTGTGTACTAAGTGAGGACCTAACAAGACTTTCAAGAGTGGTAAAGGGTAATAAATACAGCGGATCAATTTGATCTCTTCGGTGTTACTGCATTGGTGCTAGCTAGTTAGGACTTGCGAAACCAAGTTCATTTTCATTCATAATTTACTAAAATAATACTCACCTTTCCGAACGAAATTCAAATCTTATATCATCTGCATACGCAATTTAATGGATTTAGTTCAGGAAATGTATTCTTGAAATTTATTGCATACCTGGAATTACACCATGAACAGCCGATGTAAATAAACTATAATATTGATTAATGACAAGTCTTTTTCTGTGAGCATCTTCACACACTGACTGCTCTAAGGTCGAGGAGAAAGAGAATCATCGCATGTTGTTTATAATACATCTTCTATCTGTTGTTTACCAATTCGTTCCTCTATTTTCAAAGCTTCAGCAATTACAATTTTGGACATAAGATCTGCTAAACTGCAAGGAGGCAATTACACCATGGAACATAATGCCTCCACATACGTCCTTAAATATCCGAACAGTTAATTTTAACCAACACAAAACAAAAACAAAAAAGAATGGGCCTGTATTGCTCACCTGTTTAAGATCTTTAATCTAGGACCTTTCCTGCAGGTCGGGGACCGATAACCTGCTGTTATCAATAAGGCGACTCAAAATGCCCATAGAAATGGTAGCTCTTGTTATTGGTTAAGTATGCAGAAAGATGTCACAAGATTTTAATGTCGCCACCTTCGGCATGGTATTTTAGTTAGGTACATGTAGCACTCTAAAAGTCGGCATCAGGCCAGCGCTATCAAAATGAAGCATCTTTACCAACATACCCTGTATCCGGCAACAAATGCACAACACACATCGAGGCACGTCCTTAAATTACCCTATTTGTTGGTAGGATGTTAAATCCTGTACAACCAACCCGATCTATTAATTGAAAATTACAACAAAATAAGAAAAAGCGGAGAGCGTAAGTGAATGTAAACTTTGGATATTGAGAAACGGTTCAAGTAAATCAACCACAAATAGGATATAGAATACAATTTGTATCTGAGTGCCCCTACCGTTTAAGTTAGAGAACGGTCCATTGTACTCGATGTTAAAAGCAGACAAAACTATTCTTTTCTTTTAAGTGAAATAGTTTGTTTATATGTTTTGAATTCACAGATCAAAGACAGATTTGAATCTTTATCGAGTATCCCGAAACGGTCAGATATTCATGTTCCAGAGTTATGCAGGTATGTTGAAGATCAATGTTACTTACTAATACACGTACGGATGTATTGTATTTGTCATAAGTGGTAAAAGAAACATTTTGGAGGGGAATTATAGCCAATAAATCAATACAGAAATACCCTTTCTCAATGTCGTACAAACTGGTACGCCGATCTTTCTATGTTTTTACTAGGTTATCATAAAGTCACCGGGCCCGAAGATACCATGGTGCAGTATCCGTTGTCCAATGTCATCTTTTTACCTAAATGACTTCTTGCTAACAAATAGGCCAAGGGTAATGGCCAGTAGAAAACTGAAAGAAGGGCTACACTGTTTGTTCAAATAAATGACCTTGAGCAAGTTTCAAGGTTACCGGGGTCAGATTCGTAAAAATGTTCGAATAACTTTCTCTAAATAACCAGGAGTATCAAGGTGATGGTATTTTTTATTTTATTTTTCAAAAGACTGACTTTGACTTAATTTCCAGGTCAATGGGTTTAAATGTTTAAAATTCTTAAAACAATTTCGTCTTAATAACAAGAAGTACTAAAGTAATGATATCATGCCTGTAGCATGCTTGGATGAAGGGTTTTCATTTGAGTTCAAATGATTGACCTTGACCCAATTTTAAGGTCACAGGAATCAAATGTTTCCAAACAGTGGCATGCCAGGATGAAGGGCTACGAGGTTTGTTTATATCAATGACCTTGATCCTCTTTTAAAGTGACATGGGTTTAATGCGTATAAACCCTAAGATGACCTCTTTTCAATAACCAAACGTCCATTTTCATGATATTTGGCCAATTGCGTTCTTATATAAACGGCCACAAGCAAATATTCAAACAAATGCTATTTGCCCATTATCAAAGTAACTTGGGTCTAATAAATATGTATAAACCTTTGTTACTGACCCCTTTTTCAATAACAAAAGTGCCATTAGGTTTGTTTAAATGAATGATCCTTTTGTGTAGGACACAGAGGGAAATTCATTGAAAATAATTCAAATGTTCTTTCAAACGACCAGGAGTCATTGGTAATTATATTTTGTATACAGCTTTATTTGGTCCATAACAGTGAGATTTATACCCTATTAATTCATTCTTTTACGTGCATAACTCACAATTCTTTGAAGCCGACATCAGATCCATCCTATAGCCAGGAGACAATTGCACCAATATACCCTGCCTCAAGCACACAAACACACGGAGGCACGTCCCTAATTGCTCTAGGCTGTTGGCAGGCATTCAGACCTATATAACCAATCCAATGTTTGGCTGAAATATTTGTTGTCATGTTCTACCAAAAATGTTGCTATATTCACTGATTTATTTATTTGTTTCCTGTAGAAATAAACTCAGTTACTCCATCACTTGGTAGTACAGAGGGAGGAACAGTTATAACCATATCTGGGAGTGTTTTTGACGAGACCAGTACTGAGGCAGTTGTCAAAGTTGGGGGTATGTATATTTAAGTTTGGTTTTCAATTTTATGCAAAAACATTAAAATTTATATTAGTTAAATTGCTTTTCCTGCGTTTTAGATTCCTAGTCACAGTTGTAAACACCCCGTGTTAATATAACACACACACATACACTACACGCATGCATCTTGCACACAGGGGAGGCCGTCCTTAAATGACCTTAGCTGTTAATAGGACGTTAAACAAAATCAAACAAACAAACAAAAAAGTGTTAATATATGTATATTATATGTTCTATTTATTTCATTGACAATACCTACTGTTTATTGTCTTGTTCCCATGATACGGATGCCGTTTTGTTCAATATGGATAATTTTTTTTCCAGATACACGATGTCGTGTGATAACTATCAATGCCACAACAATCATTTGTAAAACAGCCCGGAAACCAGAAATACCCCATCAACACTACCCAGGTAAACAATAAACTTGTAACTAAAACTAGAACGGCAAAAATGTTTGCGAACAATTAAGGTTTCAAACCTTTTATTTACAAAGAGCCACAATGGTATTGCGTTCCGAAATCGAACAAGTTAGCAAAAGCTTTACAATCATCTTTTCAGCTCATCCGGTTTGAAGGACCGATGAGCTAATACCGTGGCGCGGTGTCCGTCTACCTTTTTATTTGTAAACGTTATCAGATTTAAATGGCTCAGTTGACTTAATCCTTTTGTAAAGGGGGTTTAATCTTGATTAAACATAAGGCGTTGTTTCCTTTGGGGCAGAAGGCAAGACCCAATAGGGAAAATGGAGCATCCTTAGGCCATGAGCACTCTATTTTGTATAAACGATATGTTTGTCCCCCTAGGAGAAAAGCAAAGGAGCCCAATAGGGGAAGAAATAGAGGTAAAACCGTCGAAATCCTTTCTCTACCATAGGAATTACGGGATTTTATACCAATTATGTCTCCATCAAATTGTCTTGTAGTGCCTGTTATTATTTGGGTGTGTTCACTTAAACAAATTGGCAACCAGGCTGCCATCTTGGATTTTGACATTTAAAGTTTGTTCTCGCTTTATGTCCAGAAATACTGGATAGATCTTTCTGAAATTGCATATGTACATACAATGGAATGATAATCTTTTCCTCATTTTGGGTACTTTACACATATCAAGGTGTGCGATACAGCCCCATAGCTTATTTCGTTTAACATCCTATCAACAGCTTTGGTCATTTAAAGACTTTGTCTCTAGAGGTAGGGCGTAATAATTGTACCTGCTGCCCCCATTGCATGATCGTAGGAGGCGACTAAATCTGCGAATTTATATTTTCTCTTCTTTCTTAACAACTTTCTTCTTCCTAATTTCTCCCTTGAAAACGCCTATATTTTGGCCTTTAGTTGAGCGTTCGCCCCTGTGTGGAAGGCTTTGGATTCTGTCCTCTGGCCGAGACTTGCCAAAGTCTGTAAAAATGGTAGTTTCTACTCCTGCTTAACGCTCGACAAATTAGGCGTGGGAAGACTGGTTCGCCCGTTGTCAGTATAATGTGACCGTGAGGGGTGTCCTGATGGGTGTTTTGGCAGTATGTTTCAGTGAGGTAGTACTATAAAGTCGCCACCAGTTCCGCGCTATCACAAGGAGACAATCACGAACATTTGTTTAGCTTGGTTTGGTATTCTTGAATGTCCTATCAACAGCTATGGTCATTAAAGGACGGCCTCCCCTGTGTGCAAGATGCATGTGTGTAGTGAATGATTGTGTGTTTTGGGAGGCTGCGATATTTTCGTGTTTGTCTCTACGAACTGATGCCGACATCAGAGTACTTTCACACTAAAAAAATATGCCTAAGGCATAGCGTTTAGCCCAGTCACATTATACTGACAACCAGTTGTTGCCATTACTGCCTTGATGACTGCTAAGCATAGAGAGTAACAGCTCCCATTTCTAGGGACTTCAGTATGTCCCGGCCTAATGACAGAACCCATTGCCTTCCTCATCTGGGCAAACATTTAACTTGAAAACCAAAAGTGAGGTGTTGCCAAGCAAGGCGCTAGGATATAAAGGGTAGTTGGAAGTAGAGAAAATAAAAAGATACCACATATTTGAAATGGGTGTAGCAGATATATTTTGATCGCTTTTGTGTCCCCAAATAGAAGGCACAAATGCAAACCCCAAATTCTGCAGAGGGTCGCCAAATAAGTCGACTAATACGATAAATGCAGTGCGTAACATCAGGTATATTTTCCTGATCCCCGACCTTCATGGGTTGCCAATTGGTAAAAAGAGATGAAATTAACGACGATAATATTCTATTATGAAACACTTACTGTTTTTGAGAAAGGTAGGATTTTAAAGTCGACATGAAGTCTACGCTTTCCCAAGGAAGGACATTTCCTCTAGCACTAACATGGACATATATTGTACGCACCTAAGTTGTTGATAGGACGTTAAATCTAGAAATCCAAACAAAGCAGTTTAATACTTCAAAAGATAGCACCATATATGGGATAACACAATAACACTGTGTCATATTATCAGTTTGACTTACATTAATTGTAAAAAGAAATTGATAGGAAACATGTGTAACGCATGCAATATTGTGATTATATATAATATTGAGATAATATTTTGTCAGTGACTTTAAGTGGTAATTAACGTTATAATTTTGACGTCAGAAAACCATACCTTCAACATTCCTTCAAATAGTTACGATAGACCTACTGTTACCCACTGCATGTATCGTAGGAGGCAGCTAACGCGCTAACTCCTAGTAGAATTTGGGATACGCCTTGGTGGCCTTTATTTTGGGACACAAAATCGACAAAAAATAATCGGCTGTGCCGATTGCAATATTTAGTATCTTTATCTTTCTTTGTAACTGCCTTTTATTTTCTAAGCGCCTTGCTTGGAAACACCACATATGTAAGTCCTTTAAAATGGTAGTTGGTACTACCTGCTGAACGTTCAACATTGAGGGAAATGGTAAAAACTGGTACGCCCGTTGTCAGTTTAATGTTACCGAGCGAAATGCTGTGCTTAGTGCCATCGGCATGGCATTTATGTGAGATAGCACCATAAAGTCAGCATCAGATTCGTGCACGAGGAGGCAACCACACCAACATACCCTGTCTCTTGTATACACACACGCAAGCCCGAATACACTACACACACGGAATCACGTCCTCAACTGACCTTAGCTGTAAATATGACGTTAAACAAAATTAAACCAATTTAAGCTTGTGAAATCATGGGAATTTAATTAATGTTTGTTGTGTTTTTTCAAGGAAACAGAGGAGTCAGTGTTGAGTCCTGGAAGGACACACACGAAAGCAACCTAGAAAAGGTAATGAATTTGAATGAGAGCGCGAGTGACTATCAAACATCGTTCTCTGATACAACACGCATCCCCGGTTACAATACATCTAGCAGCTATGTCAACCGAATGAGAGGGTTTTTCTATCCCCCTTTTGATGGTCAATATCGGTTTGTTATCACGTCAGCTGCAGGAGTACAGTTCTACCTTAGTACGGATACAGATCCAGCAAATGTGGTAAGTTCACGTTTGTTATATAATGCTAAGCTTCAATTATATTCAGCTGCGCGATCCAAAAGTTGCATTATTTTTATCAAATCAAAACAAATAAAGCTATTTATATCTTTGGTCTCGCTATCGAACGATCGCTCAAAAGACATACGAAGTCTTTAAAAATGGCTCTAATGAGAAAGCAATCCAAAGCAAGCATTTGAACATTATCAAAAGTAAAACAGATTTGATAGTCTGTCTTCTTAACTGAATTTTGATATCTGTCCGAAGAAAATCAAAATTGAGTAGACAGGACCACTAAAGCAGCACTCATCCTACAACGGGATGATAGAAAAAGGTCTTACTCTGATATAAAACAAATATGATATATAGGGCCGACTTAGAAAGATACGTGGAAAATGCGATAATGTTAAATATTACAACTTTTTCGTATTCTATTTTTTTTTTAATTGCTAAGTTTTATGGGTTTGAGAACGTCTATGTTGGCGTTGTTTGACAATAAATGACATATACATATACTATCAATAAAATCGTTATTTTTAAATGTTCTCTATGCCAGGCGTTATCGTTTTCTTTCGTTTGATACGCGTTTAAACATGCGAATGCTTCATTAGTTTCTTGTTTTTTTGTTCTCTTTAGAAGCTGGAAATTGATAGAGATATCGGATACACAGACACAACTCGTGCCATTTTACTACATTCAAATCAAAGGTTAGTGTTGTATAACGTTGTGCAAGATATTAGGTAAATATTAATTCATACTTTTAGCATGCTCAATCATCAACTGTGATGTCTATATACTTCTACAACACATTTTCGCGTGCTAGGTGTACTTAACTGTCGTATGCATTTTAAAACAAATTTTACTATGACTAATATTTTATTGATATAACTTCTCTTCACTTGACTATCTAAATTTTGGATTTTGCACACGATACAATTTAGAGGCATATGTACACTGGTTTCCTTGTTGTTACAGTTACTACATGGAAGTGTTGTTTAGACAAAGCACTAGTGCAACGGCCGTGAATGTGGCGGTTCGGCATTTAGATAGCATAGTCAATCACCACATGGCTGGGAACGTGCAACAGGAGCAACAACGAATACACTTTTGGACTAGCACTGAGAACGAGAAACAAAGAATAACGATTCCAGACATCATCAACCAAACAGCCGTTCACGAACAGCAGCAAATAATTGTAGACGCAAACGAGGGGAGGTTTCGGTTGGGAATGTACGGTGTTTATACGGGTAAACATTTATCAACGGATCATTAGCCATGAAAGCAATTGCGATTGGCAAACAACACATACAAAATATTAGTAACTTACTTGCGTTATTACTTCGCAGCAATATACACCTGAAATGATGTAGCCCGATCAAAGGTCTAACATTATCTTTACGTGCAATTATTTAAGCTGCTTTAATGGAAATATAAGCCTTTATAATCAAGGGGGATTTGAAGAAAGCAAGCGTTGATTTTCTGCTACAATTACAAAAATGAGGACTGTATCTTTTCTTACTATGACATTTATAATCGCGCTTTCCTCTCCCCTACAGGTTTGGAGAAAGAATAGGCCTGTTGTATCCCATTACATATTTTAAATAGCGACAAACGTGGGGATCTCTGCAGAATCAGGGGTTTTCTTCTGCGTTCTCTGCTAGGACATTGAAAAAAACCCAGAACATATCTGCTGCCCTCTTCACAACATTTGTAATATTTTGCCTTTTGTGTTTAATGCTAGCCTAAGTGGGGCAGACAATACATTCTGTCACCTGGCCGGACTGTACGAAAGTCTTTCAAATGGTAGCTGTTATTCCAGGCTTCACGCAATGCATTTAAGGGTATTGATACAACTAGGTTTACTAGTGCAACACTCTACAAGTCGGCATCAGATCCGCGGTATTGCAAAAAGACAGATACATTAACATTACCCGACTCTGGCGGCACACGTGCACTAAATTACGCATACATCACACATATGGAGGCACATCCTTAAAAGTCCACCCAACTGCCATAGTCATAAGAACGAGTGCTTAGGGAGACACCGCCTGGTATAGAAAGAAGATAGAAAAGCCCGGAAAGAAATGATAAGAAACGGAAGTGTTGCAATGGGGGCATCATATCATTGTTGGTCTCTGCCACGTCCCCTTCAAGAGTTGTCGCCTCTTACGGTCATGCTGTGAGATAAAGCGGCTTATTATGTCCTTAAACATGCACGGGTGTTCTCCAATGACCTGAACTGTTAATACGACGTGAAACATATACAACTTAAACAAATCCAGCGCCTTCTTTAGCAATAGCTAACGTTTAGCCCTAGTTTTGAACGATAAGTGATAAGGGGTCATCAAACAGTACAAAAACAAAAACAAAAAAACAAATCTGTCCCCATGCAGAAAATTCTCTTTTTCAAGTAAAACAAATGACACAATATGACTTCTTTACATTTTCAGAGATCCTCATTGTTGGTGCCCCGGCGATTGAAATAAGGAATGCTCTGCAGGCCCTTCCGGTAATTGATGCATCTGAGACTGTGTCTGTCAACATGACTTCCCATGGTGAAGGGTTAAAGTACACCGTTACCTTCATATCTGAGAGAGGTGATATACCTTGTTTAACACGTTGAATAATATTTTAAGATGTTTCCATGTAGTTTGTACTTATTATTTGCTATCAGATTGGAAGGATACTCACTGTTAAGGTACCATAAGGTCCATATGAATTACATTTGTATACTTTTCTCCAGATGCGTTAATCATTAATTTCGTCAGTAACACCCACCGATTAACTTTTAACCGATAAACTTGAAACATGGTTAGAAAGGTGAATGCTAAACAATCCTGTTTTTTCTTGGTTAATTCAAAGAGAATTATTGCACTTGAATTTAAATCTTTCCGTCAACTGTTCGTTATCTGTTAAATACATTTTGTAACTATAAACTAATCAACGTCAAACCTTGTAAAACGGATTACTGATACACAATCTTGTATGCCGGAACATATCAAAGTCCTCAAAAATGGTTATTGTTATTCTCTGCTTAAAGTTTAGCATTCAGGGTAAAAGCAACAACTGGTTCACCCGTTGTCAGTATACTGTGGCCGGGCGGAATGTTGCGAAGGGTGCCTTCGGCATGGTATTTTAGTGAGATAGCACTCTAAAGACGGCATCAGATCCGCGCTATCACAAGGAGGCAAATGCCCCAACATACCCCGTCTCCGGCACACATTCCCACATGCACGCATACACAACTCCTTAAAAGACATTAGCTGTTAATAGGACGGGACGGTAAACAAAAAAAAGCCGAACCATGAGGTAGCACTTAAAAGTCAGCTGTCCAGAAAGGCAAATACAAAAGCGCATCGCCTCCAGCACACATTGAGTCCTCACGGATGGGAGAAAGAATTTTCCGGTTGTATTTCAAAACATGTCTAAAAAGGCAACTAATGTGGAACATTTATAGAATAAGGGGCTCTCTGCTGTTTCTTCTGATAATGGATATTGAAGAAACCGAGTTGGGTATGCTATGAGTTTTGTCCCCCAGACTGTGACATACAATTTACCAAAATCCTAAAAAAAATACAGTTGTTATTCCCTGCTTTTTCAGCATTTCGGGTCATCGCAAGCATTTGTTTACCTGCTGTCAGTATTATGTTACTAGGTGAAATCACAAGGAGAACATTACACAAACGTATCATATTCACACAACCACACATACTCAACATACATAGAGGCACATCCTTATATGGCTTAAGCTGTTAATTTGACGTTAATCAAAATGTAACATACATTGAGGCATGTGCTTAAATGATCCTAGCTGTTTATAAGGAATAAACTAAACTAAAACTAAGTTGATCGCTAACTTTGTAGTTTTGAAGTGCAGTCATTTAAAATATAATATTTTGAATCGTAGACAACTAAAATCCTTATTTGCACATCTCTTGTATTGTATTTGTTCAATTTGTGAAATTATATTCACGTCGTCAAAGATAATACATTTGCCGTATAGATATGAAGGTTTAATTGCTGTTTGATATATTATCGACTTCTTCTTTTTGACATGTTTATATTTTTCAGGTAGTTTCCCTTTACTCGAAATAAGGGATTTATCAGGGTCTATTCCCATCGAAGTACTAAAAACAAGAGACGGCCGGCCGAGCGGTAAAAAGATAGGACTGTTTATGGCCGGTACACCTGCACCTTTAATAGACAGTGATCCATCACAAGCACAGGTATACCAAGTCTATTTTAAGAATAGACAATCATTGAGGCGTAAATTCGTATACCATTTCCTGATGACAATTGGTGAACGCGGTTTATAGAGATGTCTACTTCTAGTGATGGCTTGGACATTAAGAGGGTCCCTGCAGGTAGGGCGTACTAATTGTACCTGCTTCTCCCATTGCATGATCGTAAGAGGCGACTTAATTTGGAATCTTATGTTTTTTCTTCTTTCTAAACAACTTTCTTCTTTTTAATGTCTCACTTGACAATACCTCACTTTTGGCCTTTAGTTCAGCCTCTGCCCCTGTGAGAAAGGCTTTAGGTTCTGTCCCCTGGCCGAGAATCTGTAAAAATGGTAGTTTCTTCTCCTGTTTAACGCCTAGCCATTTAGGAGTGGGACGACTAGTTCGCCCGTTGTCAGTACAATGTGATCGGGTGGGTTGTCCTGCTGGGTGTCTTCGGCAGGATCTGATGCCAACTGTATAGTGCCTTTTCACTGAAAAACCATGCCGAAAACACCCAGCACAGCATTCCACACAGTGACATTATACTGACAACGGGTGAACAAGTTGTTGCCATTACCCTTACTGCTGAACGTTCAGCAAGGAATAATAACTACCATTTCGAAGGACTTGTTTGTGTCCTGCCTGTGGACAAAACTCATTGCCTGCCTCCCCTGGGCTTATCTTCAACATTAAAAGCCAAACGTTAGGTGTTGGCAAGAAATGCGATAGGAAATAAAAGATATTAAGAGATAGAAAGAAATATCAAGATCCTAAATATTGCAAGAGGTGAAGCAGATTATTTTAGTCGCTTTTGGTGTTCCGTCATAGACGATACAAAAGCAAATCTCCAATTCTGCAGGGGGCTCAACGTAGGTCGCCTCTTACGATATAGCATTGGGTAACATCGGGTGTATTCTTTTCTCGTTCTCCGACCTGAAGGGGTGTAGCTACGAGAAGCTTCATTTTACCACTGAAACAAATACCTACGTCACACATCGTTACAAGTTACGGAAAGAAGACTTAACCTTTTTGTTATCAGCCATTTACAGTCAAACCTTGTTTGATCGAATGCACTGGTTTTAATCAAGGTACCTTTTATGTGAATGTTGTATGGCCCTAAATGAGTCGCTCTGTTGATGGGCCGTGAAACAATACAAAAAAAATAAATCATTTCCAATTATTCCGACATCAAAATTAAGATCAGGTAACAAAACCTGAAGAGCCCGTTACATTCTTTGGTCGGTTAAAGTCAGTCTGTTATAAATTCCGGTAATAGCTTAAGTACTGCGTTAACGTTCCTATCTAGTTTCTCAATTTTAGTTATTCCACAGGTTGGCCGTCAGTGAAAATCTGAAGCCAGTTGTTGCCATTACCCTTACAGCTGACCGTTTAGCAAGGAATAATAACTTCCATTTTGAAGGTCTTTCGTATGTTCCGGCCTGTGGAGAAAACTCATTGCCTGCCTCACCTGGGCTAACGTTCAACATTAAAGTCAAACGTTAGGTGTTGGCAAGCAATGCGCTAGGAAATAAAAGATAGTAAGAAGTAGAAAGAAATACCAAGATCCAAAATATAGCAAGAGGTGCAGCAGATTATTTAAGTCGCTTTTGGTGTTCCCTCGTAGACGATACAAAAGCAAATCTCCAATTCTGCAGGGGGCTCATACATAGTCGCCTCTTACGATACAGCATTGGGTAACATCGGGTGTATTCTTTTCTCGATCTTCACTGTTGATACACATTTTAACCCTTTATGTGACTGTTGTTTGGCCCTAAATGAGTCGCTCTGTTGAAGGGCCGTGAAACAATACAAAAACAAATTTCATTTCCAATTATTCCGACATGACCCTGTATCAAAATTAAGATCAGGTAACATTACCTGAAAAGCCCGTTACAGTCTTTGGTCGGTTAAAATCAGTCTGGTTATAGGTTAAGTGCTGCTTTAACGTCCCTATTTAGTTTCTCAATTTTAGTTATTCCACAAGTTGGCCGTCAGTGAAAATCTCTCATTACTATTTGTTCAGTTCAAACAATTGTTATTAACGCTTCGTGTTATTATTTTTCAGGTTGAAGATGCCATTGATCAATTATTCACAGCACGGTGTCCAGCATACTGGACCGAACCTAAAAAGAGTGTGTTATTTTACAACATGGATGACTCTTCATCGATACCGACATATATGAGGGGATATTGGATAAATTGGTATTGGTATATTCGGTACAGGACAAATCATCAGCAAGCTTTTTGCGGAAAAGGAGCGTTAAAGAATCCCTATTATCTCCTACATGATGCATATTCTGAAAGTCCTAAAATTCATCTGACGATAAATCCGACGGTAAATATGAACCCAAGGACGATACATATAGAGTTATACGGAATGACGATTGACTTGACGTCGCATGTTTAATCATATTATGAGGGCGAAGTGAGAGTTAATCTTTACTTTAGACAACTTATGAATAACGAAGAGGCTTAGGGTTATGTTATTTGATCAGTAACATGCTGTGATGAAGGACCACCAAGTGTGTTCAAATGAATGACCTTCGCATATTTCGAGGTCAGTGGGGTCAAATCATTAAAATCAATAAACAACGTATGTGCCAATCACATTCTGACATAAAGAGCTACTAAATGTGTTCAAATGGATGTTCAAGACTTATAATCAAGGTCAAATGGGGTCAATTATCTTAAAAAAAGCTTTCAACAATAATATTTGGCCAATCACATTGTGGCATATCGGGCTACCAAATCTGTTTAAATGAATTACCATGCCTAATGTTCAAGGTCAAAGGAGTCAATTATCTTTAAAAATACTTTTAAACTACCTTTCTGAAAAACCAAAAGGCCGAGGGAGATGATATTTGGCAAAACGCATGCGGGGATGAAGGGCAACCAACTTTGTTCAAAGAGATGACCTGCGTCATATTCAAGTTCTCGTGGGTCAATTGTCTTGAAAACCTTTAACAGACTCCTTCTGAATAACTAAAAGAACCTTTGCACATATGCATGGTAGCAGGGTGAGTTGTCTCAAAAACCTTTAAACAACACGTCTTCCTAATAACCAAAAGGACTAAGATGATGATATTTTGCCAGTAACATGCGTGCAAGTATATTCAAACTGATGACATTTGCTTTTAGTCAAGGTCACATAGTCAACTATGTTGAAATCTTTAAATGGCATCTTCTGAACAATTAAAGCGTCCAGAATGATTTTTATACGCCCGTCTAATTTGACGGGAGTATTATGGTATGACGTCGTCCGTCCGGCCGGCGTAAAATTTTGTTTGTCCGGCAATCTCCTACTACATTTTTCCACTGATCATATCGCAGCCTCCCAAAATACACTACACGCATGCATCTTTCACACACGGCAGGCACTCCTTAAGTGACCTTAGCTGTTAATAGGACGTTTAACAAAATGAAACCAAACCTACATTTTTCCACTGATCTCTTTGAAATTTGGTATACATTTTAATCATGATATGAAGTTGTGTCCCCCATAAAATAATTTTGATTCGATCATTTATCCAAACGTAATTGCCCTTCATTTAAGTATTTGATTTTTGGTTCGGATATCTCCTTCTACATTGTTTGGCGGATTTCTTTGAAACTTTGTAGCCTAAATAATCATGATATGTTGTTGTGTTTTTCCTCGAAAAGAATTTTGATTCGACAATTTTTGCAAAAGGTATTGCCTTTTGTTTATTTTAGTCTTTGATTTTTGTCCGGCAATCTCCTCCTAAATTTTTCAACGGATATCTTTGAAACTTGGTTTACATTATAAGCATGATACGAAAGTGTGTCTCCCTTAATATAATTTTGATTCGACGATGTTTGCAAAAGTTATTGCCCTTTGTTCATTTCAGTATTTGATTTTTTGTCCGGAAATTTTCTCCTACGTTTTTTATAGCATGTCCGCTAAGCACTCTTAGAATGATGCAGATCTTATTTCAATGTAAGAAAGTATAAAACACTATATGGCATTCGACGGGCGTATATTGTTCCGCCCACGGTACTCTTGTTTGTTCATGTGAATAACCTTGACACACTTTCATTGTTACATCTGGTAAATTATGCATACATCTTTAAAAGTCATCTTCTGGATAAAAAAAAGACGGGTGGTGGTATTTGACAAGTTGCATTCTGGAATGAAGGGCTCGAAAGCTTGTTCGACGTAATGTCCATGCTTGACTTCAAGGTCACAATGGTCAAATATGTTTAAATCTTTTAATTTTAATCGTAAAAAAGGTTCTTTTAAATTACTTATTCACTGCTGTTTTGCCTGTAGCGTTATTTTCGTCCACTTTCAAGGTTACAATTGTGAGATTAGTTCCAGGTGAGCGATGCAGGCCCATAGGGCCTTGTGTACATCGTGCGTGTAGTCATCCTTACATATTGAAGCAGGTAATAGGAGAACCCCTGTTAAATGTGGGTGTGAATCTCACCTTGGTTCCTTTACTTATTTTTTCAACGAATTATTCTCAATAACCAATAGTCAGGATGATGATATTTTGCCAGAAGCATGCGGGATGAAGGCTACCAAATTAGTTTAAATGAAATAACAATGCTTATGGCATGCTCAGATGAAAAAGTTTCTAATTTGTTACAATCAATTACCTTTGTGCATATTCAATGTCACAGTTATCAAATATGTAAAAAAAGACATTGAATCATATTCAAGTTCCTAGTGATTAAATAGGTTTAAAAGATTAAAAGAATAATAATAATTAAAATACAAAGGGTGGTGATATGTGACACGTAGTTTGCTCATACGGAGAGCTATCGGATTTGTTTATGTGAATGACATTGACACACTGTCAATGTCAAATATGTTTACTCTTAAGGTTACAAGATCAGGTGAGCCAACTTGAACTTTTGTGCCCTCACTGTTTGCTTTAGTGTTAAAACATTGCCAGATCGATGAAATCTATTGATTCTGTCAGAAATATAGCAAGGCAGCTGCTTTTCTTAACAAAACATTTAGCATTTAAGGTAATCGCAACAACTTGGTTGATCCGTTGTCAGTATAGAATGACTTATTGGCATACAATACTTGTTTTTTTCGGCTTAGTAATTTGGTGAGGTAGGTCTACAAAATCGGCATTAGACCCGTGATATCGAATGGAGGTAAATACATCAACAAACGTTGCCCGTAACATATACACATGCGCGCATACATTAAACGCATGTATATATAGCTTACAAAAAAAACTATTTATTCTATACTTGATAACTTTTAGCGATTTCATTGACCAAACTCAATTGAAAAGATTTTTGGTGAATATTGATCTCTAAACGTTGCTTATACAAAAATATCTGTGCTTTTATTGCTGGTTAAGCCAATTTATACGATTTAAATAAGTCTTGCACCCAAACTATCTAATTTAAAAGATCAAATATATTTTGCTCACTTTATTGTCAAGGAATATAATAAAACTCAATAAAAATCAATAACACGGTTTTAGATCCACATATTTGTAAAATGGATTTGTTAGTACTATTTGAACATATTATTTAAAATTAGGTATTATCTCCTTAGAACAAATTTATTGAATATAACACCTGCGAGCAAGTTCTTGTAAGTTACCCGGGCTGATTTTAGTTGCGTCAACGTCGTTTCCCTAGGGTATCCGGAACATGTTATATGAGTTACAGATATGTTGACCTGCCTCGGACTGTCTTGCTGACATAACTGAAGTGTAAAATTGCGTTGTCTTGTTGTTGGACAATAGAAGAATCGGCATCGCAGAGCAACCTATGCATAGCACAAAGTGATGTTTAATGACAAATTTGTAGTATCGTAATATTTCTCATTCTCTTTTCTCTTTCAAACATTTTCGGTTTGCGTAACCTTGATTTCTGACTCCTAAAGTTGAAATTAATTTTGGCAACAGTGTGACAGAGTCACGCATGACTGAATGCAACAAAAGGCTAAATTTCCGATCAACAACACTCGTCCAAATTCTATTGCCAACTGAAACGTCATTTTACAGCAGAATATCAGACATATTTTTTTTTTCATATATGAAAATAGTCAAGAAATGTAGTTAAATTAATTATGCTTTAATGTCGATGTCTTTGGCAGTTTTGTGTGGCATTGAAAGGGGAAGTCTCGTGGATCTACATATCCGTTGATTACGTAGACGCCAATGGAAAAAAGAACACGCTGTCACAGCATTTCTACGACATCATAAAAGCCCAGAAAACTGCACAGTATGTATACAGATAACTATATACAATACTTCCCCTCGTGTAACCGAAGTCAGGCTCGAGGAATTTACATTGATGACATGTTTTTAGACAATAACAGAAGCTAATCAACTCTAAACACGCCTTTCCTCTGTGGTCAGTCGTCCTCCAATAATGCTATTTCTCAAAAAGTGATAAATTGAAGCGACCATCTTGGATTTTGTTAGTTGAAGTATTTCAAAAAGACAGACCGTTCTCAAATTTCTTAGTTCGGTTTCCCTTTGTGAATGATTTCGTATGTTTATTTATACGTGGCCGCTAGACAGCCATATTTGATTTTATCAGTTTAAGTATGTTGTATTTCTTAATTACATGAGATATATTTTTTTAACTTTATATGTAGGATCCCTTGGTCTCTATTGTAAGGATCCATTGGTCTCTATTGTTGCATGGTTATCAGTATATTTAGTTGGATTGAAGTTGAATGTACATTCTTGACGTTTGTTCTGTACATCAATCTACCAACTGAAAACAACTGCCATTAGACCATGAATACACTATGAATACAATGATTATCATGCAACCAGTCAGCTGATTTCACACACAATGCCCACTTTCATATTAAAACGCATAGTACCGTTTCTAAGAAAAGTTATCTCCCCTACTCCAAGATAACATAGTTGCCAGAAATAATAAGTACAAAAATCATCAATGGTGCACCATTGTACTTTTATTATCATTCTTTCTTATTTATAAATTACTTACAACATTTTCATATTAAATACTGACTTCCGACTCGCAATCGGTTCCTCGTGATAACGCACTTTCTAAAACCTAACCGTCAGGCTGTTTACTCCCCGTGATATCAAATTGCACATTATACTCAGAGAACAGTGTAATGGCACAGGGCACGTCATCCACCAAGTAATCATCATTTACATCTGCAGTTTATTTTGGTGAACGGCACATTCAACGGTTGTACATTTAACTTCAAATGAGCATGGATCCATGGCTACTGCCGACGGGTGCTCGGCCGACGAGTGTCCTGGATGGTTACTTGGGTGACAGATGATTTGAAATAGCGCGAACATAAACTTTTTAAATGTATAATATGCGGTGTTTAATGCAAAAAAAAAATCAAATAATATTAACTGTCAGAAATGAAAGAAATATTAATTGCTGATTATTATTGGATTCTAGATATATGTTTTTGTTTCAACAAAATCAGCTGAACGGCGGACAAAGCGGAATTCGAAGATATGATGTTTGTGTATAGGCTGGAGTTCTGGCTTGCTACTTTTTATGGTTTCCTTCCGATAATAATATTAAAAATATTAAAATTACATAAAGTGAGGTGTTTTTTTTTTACCGTAGATCACCGTAACGTTAATATTTGAATTGAATATATTGCCTTCATGTACATCGCGGCAATGAATAGCAGTAGCTGATTTACATATCTTCTAAGGAGCGCTTACGTAATTCATTGCCGCAATGTACATGCAAAAAACCCATTCAATCCCTATATGAACACGGTTAGTGTCACTGTTTGTATTTGACCCGAAATGCTCTGAAGACGTTATTCTAAATAAGTTTTGGGTGCAGCAAAGTGTATTTTAATTGTTAATTTTTTTATTTTAGATGGAACTATGGCTGCTATAATTTGCGGGAATATATTACTGCAATCATCGCTGGTGCAACGCAGTTAGTTTTACGCATATTTTATATTTATGGAGCAGATGTTTTACTAGATGAGTTGTATTTTGGACAACAACCTACAACGTCAGATACGGGTGAGTTTTTTTTTCAATTTGAAGAAATCCTAGGAATAAAAAATAGTTGTTTTGGTTTACAGTTTGGTTTGTTTTACTTTTGTTACCTCCTATTTCATTATGAGGTTAAACCACTGAGTATAACCATGTGACATTAATACATTCTTCCATCCTCGGCGGGGTGAGGTGGGAGGAGAGGGAATTGTAGAAAGTTGAGCAACATCTCTTACTATGTTGCATAAATAATGCACGTTGACACAATTGTTGTAAAAATTGGAAAAATAACTTGTCTTAATCGGAACAGTATAAAACATTCCTCCTCCTCAGGTAAGCTAGGGTATCTCAACTTTAGGTCTGGATCCATCAGAGGCTTGTTGGCAACTTAATATTTTTACCCGATGGTTGTTTTTTTGCTTCCAACTACCCCGACCCCCACCCCGCTCTCAATGTGGATACATTATTCTTATTCTCTTATAAATGTTGTTTTATATCAGAATGCAATGTTGTTGTGACTTGCTCAATGGATTGCTGATGTGACGTTATTGCAGTTGTGATATGACGTCATACAATTGTTATATTAGTAGAGTAAAGTCGCCTGAGCCATATTTTATTGCATACTAACATACTAATATTGTATCCCTTGAATTTGATTGAATAACATTATCAATACCTCACATCAGAGATGGATTCTTTTATATCTCAAATAATAAAAGTCATTGAAAAATAGAGTGTTTAGAAGTACCCAACCGGTTCCCGGGGGGGGGGGAGTAATAGGTTTGCTCTCGGTCCGTCCTTCCGTCCGTGAAGTTTGTCTGGGACAAATCTTCTATACTATTTCACCTGGAGTAATCAGAATTGGTGTACAAGGACATCTTGCGATGGTGAAATGTGAAAAAAATCTGTGACATATCTTCTGAACTGTTCCACCTGTAGTAACCAGAGTTAGTGGATATCTTTGGATGGCGGAGTGCAAGAATTAGGTCAATAGGACCTATACACTAACATTTGACCTTCACTTTTGAAAATGTTAGTCCGGGGCATATCTTCTTTACTATCTTATCTCGATTTTCCAGATTAAGTGTTCAAGGACATCTTAGGATGTCGGATCGCAAAGAGAAGGTTTCAGGGTACTTTCTTAACAGAAGGCACATCCATACATAAGTTAAATATATAAATCGTAACCGGTGGGCGACTATATATTGCTTTGCAAAACTTAACCTTGTTTCCTGTTGAAATTCATCCCTGCAGGTCGGGGATCGAGAAAAGTGTATCGTAAGGGGCGATTAATGTTGGATCCCCCTGCAGACAAAAATAAATATGCTGCACCCATTGCAACATTCGGGATCTTTATCCTTTTATCTTCTATCTACCATTTATTTCCTAGCGCCTTACTTACTAATTCCTCACTTAGGGCTTTAATATTGAGCGTATACCAAGGTGAGGAAGGCAATGAGTTATCTACCCAGGCCAGGACATACCTAAGTCCTAAACAATGGTGGTTGTTATTCCCTGCTAATGCTACTTCACCCGTTGTCAGTATAATGTGATTTGGTGTAATGCTGTGCTGAGTGACTTCGACGGCATGTTGTTTCAGTGAGATTGCACTATGAATTCGGCCTCAGATCCGCGCTGTCACAAGGTGGAAAGTATATACCCTGTCTCCAGCACACATACACGATCGCACCCTTGCACGACAAGCATGGAGGCATGCCCTCAAAGAGCATTATCTGTTGATAGGACGTTTAACAAAGTAACACAAAACCTGTGGAAATCAGTTCAGATATGTTTCTATTCCGGAGACCCCAAGGGAAAATAAACCGATATTTCAAAAATCTTCTTCCCCAGGCTCTGATGTACTGCATTCAATGCTTCTGCATGGATTGACAGATCATCAGAGGCTTTATTAAAATTGTAAATTTCAGGACCCCCTGGTCATTCATTTTTAGGACCAAGTGAGCTTATGGTATAGTGCGGCGTCCGTCGTCCGGCGTCAACTTTTAACTTTAAACAACTTCTCCTCAGTAACCAAAATGCCTAAAGTGATGATATTTGGCCAGAAGCATGCTGGGATGAAGGGCTACCAAGTTTGTTCAAATAAATGACCTTTATCACAGGGGTCAAATATGTTAAAACCTTTAAACAACTTCTTCTGAATAACAGAGAGGTCTAGGGTGATGATATTTGGCCAGTAACATGCATGGGTAAAAGGCTACCAAGTTTGTTCAAATAAATGACCTTGACTTATATTCAAGGTCACTGGGGTCAAATATGTGTAAAACCTTTAAACAACTTTTTGTGAATAACCGAGAGGCCTGGGGTGATGACATTTAGCAAGTAACATGCTGAAATAAAGGGCTACCAGGTTTGTTCCAATAAATGACCTTGATTATATTCAAGGTCACAGGGGTCAAATAAGTTTAAAATCTCTAAACCACTTCTGCTGAATAACCGAGAGGCCTAAGGTGCTTAAATTTGGCCAGTAACATGCTGGAATGAAGGACTACCAGGTTTTTTCAAATAAATGACCTCGATGTATATTCAAGGTCACATGGGTCAAAAATGTTAAAAACATTTAAACAACTTCTTCTGAATAACCGAGAGGCCTAGGGTGATGATATTTGGCCAGTAACATGCTTAGATAAAGGGCTACCAAGTTTGTTCAAATAAATGACCTTCTTTAATTGTAAAGGTCACAGGGGTCAAATATGTTAAAATATTTAAACAACTTCTTCTGAATAACCAAATAGGCCAAGGATGATGATATTTGGTCAATAACATGCTTGAATAAAGGGCTACCAAGTTTGTTCAAATAAATAACCTTGAATCATATTCAAGGTCACTGGGGTCAAATATTTTGAACAATTAAACAATTTCTTCTGAATGACCAAGAGGCCTAGGGAGAAGACATTTATCCATTAACATGCTGGGATGAAGGTTACCAAGTTTGTTAAAAAAAATGAACTTGATTTATATTCAAGGTTACTGGGGTCAAATATGTTTTAAACCTTTAAACAACTTCTTCTGAATAACCAAGAGGCCTAGGTTAATGACATTTGTCCAGTGACATGCTTGAATGAAGGGCTACCAAGTTTGTTCAAATGAATGACCTTGAATCATATGCATGGTCACTGGGGTCAAATATGTTCAAAACATCTAAATAACTTCTTCTGAATAACCAAGAGGCCTAGGATGATGACATTTGGCGTTTAACATGCTGGGATGAAGGGTTACCAAGTTTTTTCAAATGAATAACCTTCGCCCATATTCAAGGTCACAGTGGTCAATAAATGTTTAAATCTTTAAATGATTTGTTCTGTATAACCAAACAGTCCAGGGTAATGATATTTTACTAGAAGCATACTAGGTTGGAAGACTATAAATGATGTTCAACCAAATGTTCTTGACCGACATTCAAGGTCACGGGTGTCAAATGTTAAAATATTTTAATAGGTTCTTATTAATCAAACACTGATATTCTGCCAATATTTGTATTTTAGTCCACTTTTAAGATCACAAGTGTGAAATGAATACCAGGTGAGGTATTCAGGCCCATTAGGCCTCTTGTTCCATTGGGGAGGGGGTAAAGTTTGCTATAGTTTACAAGAAAATATCACTTTTAGGTATAATTTGACAATTTTATGTAGGAAACTGTTCTTACTTGGTGAGAATTATCCATGGAAAAAGATGGTTTCCTACCCCAATCCTAGGGGCCAGAGCGGGACAATAAAGGGAAAATAAAACAGTATTTCAAAACTCTACTTCTCAAGGATCAGAGGTACTACAGTCAATTCCTCTACGTGGATGGAAAGATCATCAGGCGCTTTATTTAATATTTTTTATAAGTTTTCTATAGTTTATATAGAGTAATATCACTTTTGGACATATTGTGTCAATTTCTGTAGGAAATTATTTTTACTTGGTGAGAATCATCCTTGAAGGACGATGATCCTTGAAGGACGATGGTTTCAAATTATAAAATTAAGGTCGGCCTCCCCTGTGTGCAAGATGCATGCGTGTAGTGTATGCGTGTGTGTTTTGGGTGGCTGCGATATGTTCGTGTTTGTCTCTTTGTGATGGCGCGGAACTGATGCCAACTTTATCGTGCTACCCCACTGAAACATACTGCCGAAAAAAACCCAGCAGAACACCCCACCTGGTCACATTATACTGACAACGGGCAAACCAGTCGTCCCACTCCTTAATTGCTGAGCGTTAAGCAGGGGTAGAAAATACCATGTTTACCATACTCTGGTATGTCTCGGCTAGGTAACAGAACCAAAAGCCTTCCTCACAGGGGCGAACGCTCAACTAAAGGCCAAAAGTGAGGCATTGTCAAGGGAGATATTAGGAAGGAGAAAGCTGTTTAGAAAGAAGAGAAAAGATAAGATCCCAAATTTAGTCGCCTCTTATGATCATACAATGGGGGCAGCATGTACAAGACTTGCACCCTTACTGCAGAACATCTGTCAGGGGGATGGGGTAAAGTTGACTATAGGTTATATAGGGAAATAACACTTTTGGGTATATTTTATCCATTTTAAGCAGACAATTATTCAAACATGGTCAGAATCATCTTTGTGGATGAGTGTATAACATTGTAAAATTGGGATTCCTGGCCCAACCCCAGGGGCTAAGGTGGGGCCCAAAAGGGAACATTTATCAATATTTTGAAATTCTTATCCTTTGATTTCACTTAGTTTTCATATTGATTTCAACATCACATCTCAACAATGAAATTGAGCTACCAATAACTATAGTATAACTCATGTGACCGCTGAGGCCCTTGGGCTTCTTGTTATGTATTCCGTGTTTTTTTGTGAATGTCTGTTTTTTACATTGTTGTTTAGCCCTAAATGACTAAAATTGTCGATGTGCCGTAAAACAAAACAACATACTAAATGACCAAAGGTGTTAATAATGTGCGACACTTACTAAAAGTAGATAAATATGTCAAACTTGAACTAAAAGGTAAAAAAATGTTTAAAATAATTAAATATTATCTATAGCATGCGATTTAAGGAAAACGATAGATATGTTTATGCCAAAAAACCATCAAATATTGACAAACATTGCTTGGTCAAAAACATTACCATGAGGTTGATGTTATTGCTTTTAAGATCGATTGAAAACGAAGAAAATTCGTTAATGTATCAGCAACGAAAAGTTGTTTGCTACTTTTTCCTTTCCATTATTTTATGATTAATTACCTTTAAAAAATGTGTAAAAAAATAGGATTTCACGTTTTTAGATCTATTGCTCTTTGCTTTTCGGGATCTTTTGTTTTAGCTCTGGCCTTACTTTGCAGATCTGCAATCTCTTATCGGAAACAATATTCAATTTGACGTTTTTTTTTACTTTTAAGATTAGTTTGATGTTTTATTTGGCATATGTTTTTGTCGACATTGGTTGGACCTAATGACCTATCCCGTGTTGATGGGCCGTTAAGCATTGCTAATAAAATAATACTTTGCAGATTAGTGAAATTGAAGCTCTGAGATTACATTTGTTGTAGTTTTGTTTTAAAAACGTACATGTGGTTTAAACTTGGAGAGACGTTTGTTGAGAACACAAAAAGGGTTAGTGAATCAAGCTCTTTCAAATTTGTATTGCTGCTAACTCAAAAGTTCCAGTTGTGATTGATGTTGTGTTTGTTTTTGTGTTTGTTTTTGCTAGATGATGCTCATCTACGACGTCTACTTTGCTCTCCAAATGGTTACAGAATTATAGACGTAGATGTGACAAAGTCTCAGAATAGTTATGATGTCACTCTCAACTCTGCCTTTGCGGGACATGGATTTCCTTTATTTGCCGTCGATGAGACTCAGGTAAGACTTTAGTATCTTCCATACCGGTAAGAAATAATTATCATGTAGTAAGATAGTCTGTAGTAAAACGACTACAACGTACAGTTGTGAGTTTGCACAACGGTACACGTTGTGAAGTGTGCACACGATGAAAAACTGTGACAACGGCGTGTACAATCGCAAAGTTGTTCTATAGGTGTTGTGGAAGATATTTATTAATGAACGGCCTGTGTATACATACTTTTCCGTATATAAACTTATATTTCCTTATGTAGCCATATTTCAGCCATGGGCTTATTAATTAATACGTGTACATATTATATACATGTTTGCACTGTACATGTACAGATAAAATACATACAACACCTGTTACCAGGGCTTGTTCTCGATTCCCCTATAAGCTCAACTTATCTGAAGGTCTAAGTGCACTCATGCAATGGTATAGCCTCCGTTGTCAAAACGGTTTCTCCTCAATAACCAATAGACATAGGGTGATCTTATTTGACCAATAGCAATCAATGATCTTGTTGAACTGCATTACCTTGGCCCACTTTTAAGGTCACTATGGTCAGATATGTTAAAATGCATAAGTAACTAAAAAAAACCAGTGTGATGGTATGGAGTTCTCTGGAGATAAAAAAATAACAATTCTTTAAATAATTCCTCATGAACAAGAGAAAGCGGGGAAGCCCCCTGCATAATTTTCGGAATTAATTTACAACTCTAGAAATTGTTGGTACAGTTGTGGAATCGCACAACGTTACATTATGTGCAGCATGATGTGTGAACAATAAAAATCTTGACGATTATTGCTTTCACACATTTGTGCAGACGTTGGATGAAGGTTGTTCGCTGACAATCATGGTTGGTGTAAATTGAGAAATGGCTGAACAGTATTTACGGTTTTGTGTTTAAACATGTATAACTTGATTTTTAGCTCACCTGGCCCGCGGTAGAGCGTCCGTCGTCCGGCATTTTACTTTAAACCACAACCTAATACCCGATAGGCCTAGGGTGTTGGTTCTTGGCAAGAAACGCACTGGGATAAAAGGCTACCAAGTGTGTTCGAATGAATGACCTTCACCCATTTTCAGGGTCACAGTGGTCATATTAATATCGTTAAATAACTTCTCTTGCATTACCAAAAATACTAGGATGATTATATTTGGCAAGAATCATGCTTAGAAATAGGGCTACCAAGTTTGTTCAAATGAATGACCTTTCCCTGTATTAAAGGTCATAGGGACCAAGTGTCTTATAACACCTTTTAACGACTTCTTCTGATAAACAAAATGTAGCTGATGACATTTGGCTAGAAGCATGCTAGAATGAAGTGCTTCAATTTTGTTTAAATGAATGACCTTCATCTATATTCAAGGCAACAGGGGTTAATCGTCTCAAAACGAATCATGCTCTTTCTGAAGAACCAACAGGTTTGGGATGATGATAGTTGGCAAGTACCATATTTGGATGAACGGCTACCAAGTTTGTTCAAGTGAATGGCATGCACCCTTATTCAATGTCACAGGAGTCAATTGTCTTAAAAACCCTTTAAATGGCTAATTCTGAATAACAAATGGAACAAGATTGTAATTTTGTGCCAGCAGCATGCTGGGATAAAGGGCTATGAAATTTGTTCAATGCATGACTTTCGCCCAGATTCAAGGTCACAGGGGTCAATTGTCCTACAAAACCTCTAAACGACCTCTTGTGAATAACTAAAAGGGTCTAGATTGAAGGGCTAACAAATTTGTTCAAATAAATGACATTCACCCATATTCAAGGTCAAATATGTCAAATTTGTTAAAAACTTTCTTCTGAATAACAAAAATGTCCAGGGTGATAATATTTGGATAGTAGCATGCTGGGATTAAGGGCTAATGAACAACTAAAAGGACACGGGTGATTTTGTTTTCATGTAAATGATTTTGACACACTTTCAGGGTCACGTCTGGTCAATTGTGTATACATCTTTGAAATTATCTTCTCAATAAACAAAAACGATATAGGGTGGTGCTCTTTGGCATGTTGCATCCTTGGATGAAGGACTATACAGTTTGTTTAACTTAATATTAATGATTGACTTTCGATGTCACAAGGGCGAAATGTGTTTACATCTTTTTACAGTTTAACATCTGTTTACAGGTTCTTTTGAATTACTTAACACTGCAATTTTACCAGTAGCTTTGTTTTAGTCCACTTTTAAGGTAATCATTGCGATATTAATACCAGGTGTGTGATACAAGCCCATGTGGTCTCTTGTTTAAGTATGATTATATTTTCTAGCTAGATATATCAGCTGATCATTCTATGTATTTTTTTTATTTAAAAAAAGGTAATTTCGGTGTTTTTAAAAAAACATAATCGACACATGTCAAAACTATAACACAAATGACCACTGTCCCTTATACAAGTAAATATAGCCACTTTGTACATGTACCTGGACCGTAGTCATCACCACCCGGGGTACTCGTGAAAATCAAGGAGAAGGGGAGCTTCAGGCCAAAAAGAATACAAACAACAAATACTTAACGTACCAGCTTTCTTTGTCAGGCACATGTCAGGGAAACCTGGGGTCATTCATCAAAATGTTATTTACCTGTTCTGTTACCTGGAAGTCAAAGCCATTCTTGACAGTCTAACGGTTACTGATATACTGTATAACACTCATTGTAAAATTAAACATCAATTCAATTAGTATGATGAGAAATGTATATTATATTATGTTTCTTATTCCAAACGAGCCTTCCGGAATTTGTCATTCCGTAATATTGATCAGCCAATTGTACCAGCTCGCACGGTATGCGAATGATGTGCCCACGCTATATTTCTGCGTTGTGCAGTCACACAACTGTAACAATTTGACGTTTTTCCCCCATTAGAACCGACTTGGTCTTCGATCATAAACCTTTTTTTATCTTCATGGTCTTTACTTGCTATGGTCCTGAAGGTAGGGCGTAAGAATTGTAACTGCTGCACCCACTGCAAGATCGTAAGAGGCAACTAAATTTGGGGTCTTATCTTTTCTCTTCTTTCTAAACAACTCTCTTCTTCCAAATGTCTCCTTTGGTAATGCCTCACTTTTGGCCTTTAGTTGAGCGTTCGCCCCTGTGATGAAGGCTTTGGGTTCTGTCCCCTGGCCAAGACATACCAGAGTCTGTAAAAATTGTAGTTTCTACTCCTGCTTAACGTTCAGCAGTTTAGGAGTGGGACGACTGACTGGTTTGCCCGTTGTCAGTTTAATGTGACCGGGTGGGGTGTCCTGCTGGGTGTCTTCGGCAGTATATAGTATATAGATATAGTAAGGATTGCTACAGGACCTATGCAAATCTGCAGAAACGGTCTTTTTAAACCATATTTAAATGAAATTCATCTTCTATATCATTTAAGACACAACAAACAAACTATTTATGTTTTCTATACCCTGGTATTTGCCAGTTTATATACCTATCACAAGACTCGACCGACTAGTCAATAATAGTAACATCAATTCAGCCACGGACTAAGACAGTTTTTACTTGACAATAAAGTAAGATATAGTGTTAACTATTTATAAACGATCCATGAACACTGACCAATGACCGATGGATGTTATAGTTTAAATTGTGTGCCTTCATTTTTATTTGGTTTTAATCCTTTACGAAAACTGATCAAAAGAGTTCAACAGACTGCTTTGTTTTATTCGCGGCTAGTTATGAACACTGTACAGCCTATGATATCAAGAACTATCACTGAATGTGTTATCGTCTATGGTGTTGAACGATCAATTGGTAAAGCTAAGTGATTTTTATTTATTTTAATCCTTTAGAATAATAGTCATAATAACCTCAACACATCAATTTCATTATATGTGTAGATACACGTTTACACAAAAAATAGTGAATCAAGGGCTTTATGGTTTATACATATTCCTACTACGCCTACAGTTTTACATATTTATACCCTATAACACCAGTTATACCTATATTCTCATACATAACGTTACCCTCCTATACCATCTTAACCTTCCTTCACCGTCTGCACCTGCTACACTACCTGTAATTTTCAAAAATGCATATACCTCCGGTACCACTTACGTATGCCTACAACACATATACCACTAACATATTAATATTACTCTTCGATAAACATCTTAACCATTAACAACCTATACTCTCCTATACCAAAACATCTTTCAGGCCTTCATTTCATTTCAACACATTTTATTCATGATGTTGTATGAATTGGATCGAACAACAGGCTATGCTTATATCCGTTCTCTCCTGCATGCATTTGTATAAATCAGCATATAAATATATTATGATTTATCAGTGAATTGAAAAATTGAAAAAAGACAATTTATATACAAAATAGATATCAATGTGCAAGTCATATGGTATAGGGGAGATAACTCTAACTACTTATGAAAGGTCACAAGTCAAGCTGTGCTACTTCTTAACCTCACCAGAGTATTGAGTGGGTTTTTGACATATTCCTTGACTAGATTTTTCCTGGGAGTTCAAAATCCACACAGAGTGACTCATAGATACATGTAGTTGAATATTAGGCTTATATAATTAAATATCGTGAATAATCTTGTTATTAGTCATATTAATATTCACATTATAATACGTTGAGAATATAATTATACAACTACTTGTTATTTTGAAATTACAAAATACAAGTCCATGTTGATTTAAGGGGTGAGTATATCATATTCACACAGTGTTTATAGTAAGCGATTAATGATATTTATAACCATAAGCATGTTTGCTGTTCATGTTTACAATATTAGATTATTTATAGTACATTATAATATAAGTTGATATAGATAATTCTAGTTATATAAATCTTTTTGAGTTCAAGATAAAGGTTGAGACACTCTAGGATATTGTTATTGGTTTCATTGTCACATTGGTTACAACCATTTAGTAAAGTATGTAGAGTATAGTGCGAGTGATTATCATTGAGTAGAGTAGCAGAGAGTATTTGTCTGTGATTGTTGTATCTGACACAGTCAAAGAAGTAATGATAACTTGTTT